CAGTCGTTCACCTCTGAACTGACTGTTCGGTTAAACTCTCTTCCTACGGGCGGAGGAACCCGAAGGAGGCTACGCCGAAGGGCGGAGTCTCCTTCGGGAGGTAAAACCGCCCAGAACCCGTTTATACGGGTTCAAATGGGCTATTTTTTTTGGCCGAGCCTAATGGCTCAGGAATGCCCACGTTAAAAAGGCCTTGTGACACATGACACCCTCGTGGGGGGGACTGAATATCATCAGTCGTTCACTTTCTGAGCGACTGTTCGGTTCAACTCTCTTCCGAGCGGGAGGAACCCGAAGGAGGCTACGCCGAAGGGCGGAGTCTCCTTCAGGGAGGTAAACCGGCCCAGAACCCCTTTATGCGGGTTCAAATGGGCTATTTTTTTGCCGAGCCTAATGGCTCGGGAATGCCCACGTTAAAAAGGCCTTGTGCCACATGACACCCTCGTGGGGGTGACTGAATATCATCAGTCGTTCACCTCTGAACTGACTGTTCGGTTCAACACTCTTCCTACGGGCGAGAGGAACCTGAAGGAGGCTACGCCGAAGGGCGGAGTCTCCTTCGGGAGGTAAAACCGGCCCAGAACCCGTTTATACGGGTTCAAATGGGCTATTTTTTGGCCGAGCCTGATGGCTCGGGAATGCCCACATTAAAAAAGCCTTGTGCCACATGACACCCTCGTGGGGGGTTGACTGAATATCATCAGTCGTTCAACTCTGAACCGACTGTTCGGTTATACTCTCTTCCTACGGGCGGGAGGAACACGAAGGAGGCTACGCCGAAGGGCGGAGTCTCCTTCGGGAGGTAAACTGGCCCTGAACCCGTTTATACGGGTTCAAATGGGCTATTTTTTGGCCGAGCCTAATGGCTTGGGAATGCCCACGTTAAAAAGGCCTTGTGCCATGACACCCTCGTGGGGGTGACTGAATATCATCAGTCGTTCACCTCTGAAATGACTGTTCGGTTAAACTCTCTTCCTACGGGCGGGTGGAACCCGAAGGAGGCTACGCCGAAGGGCGGAGTCTCCTTCGGGGAGGTAAAACTGGCCCAGAACCCGTTTATACGGGTTCAAATGGGCTTTTTTTTTTGGCCGAGCCTAATGGCTCGGGAATGCCCACGTTAAAAGGCCTTGTGCCACATGACACCCTCGTGGGGGTGACTGAATATCATCAGTCGTTCACCTCTGAACTGACTGTTCGGTTAAACTCTCTTCCTACGGGCGGAGGAACCCGAAGGAGGCTACGCCGAAGGGCGGAGTCTCCTTCGGGAGGTAAAATGGCCCCTGAAACCCGTTTATACGGGTTCAAATGGGCTATTTTTTTGGTCGAGCCTAATGGCTCGGGAATGTCCACGTTAAAAGGCCTTGTGCCACATGACACCCCTCGTGGGGGTGACTGAATATCATCAGTCGTTCACCTCTGAACTGACTGTTCGGGTAAACTCTCTTCCTACGGGCGGGAGGAACCCGAAGGAGGCTACGCCGAAGGGCGGAGTCTCCTTCGGGGAGGTAAACTGGCCCAGAACACGTTTATACGGGTTCAAATGGGCCTTTTTTTGGCCGAGCCTAATGGCTCGGGAATACCCACGTTAAAAGGCCTTGTGCCACATGACACCCTCGTGGAGGGGTGACTGAATATCATCAGTCGTTCAACTCTGAACCGACTGCATGGTTAAACTCTCTTCCTACGGGCGGGAGGAACCCGAAGGAGGCTACGCCGAAGGGCGGAGTCTCCTTCGGGGAGGTAAAACCGGCCCTGAACCCGTTTATACGGGTTCAATGGGCATATTTTTGGCCGATCCCACGGGCTCGGAATGCCCACGTTAAAAAGGCCTTGTGCCACATGACATCCTTGTGGGGGCGGGGTGTGACTGAATATCATCAGTAGTTCATGTCCTGACCGACTGTTCGGTTGAACTCTCTGCCTTCGGGCAGGAGGAACCCGAAGGGGACTACGCCAAAGGGCGGACTCTCTTTCGGGGAGGTAAACCGACCCTGAACCCGTTTATACGGCTTCAATGGGCATATTTTTGGCCGAGCCCACGGTCTCGGAGATCCCACGTTAAAAAGGTCTTGCGCCACATGACGCCCTCGTGGTGGTGGTGGTGAGGGGGTGACTGAATATCATCAGTAGTTCAAGTCGAGTTAGAGGCAGTCCGAAACAGAGTCGCGTTCAGACAATTACTGCAAGATATTGGAATAGTGACACTGGTCGAGACTACATTGTTCTCTCTACTAAACCTGATTTGTTCATACTAACACTTCTACTTCTCTGTATATATTCCTGTTTGTAATATATCTGTATTATTCCATACCTGTGTTCGAGTTCTTCCTTATTGGGTCTACCTTGGACTAACATCTTGGTACAAGGAACCGGACCATAACACACGTCAAACTTCACGGTCTTGCATCAAGGTAGCTAGATCACTAGAGAGGCATCCTGTGTCATAACATAGCTGGTCAATCTAGGTGGTTGCTGGGTGACCAACTTCTCTTGATCCATGGCTAGGGACCCAGAGCTGTAGATCACTCACGCGTTCTTGTTTTATTCGCCAGCATTGTCCTTCAAAGCGCATAAGGTTGTAGAAATATCAAGGATGAGTCCATAGAGCTGTGATATAGTTGTGATGTTAAGTATAGCTCTCAGCATCCGAGTGTAGGTTCCATCAAGCTTTTACAGTGGCTCGAAAGAATCTCCGCTTGAGGTTGTCTGGTAGATCAGATTTCCAGATCGCATCTATTTTATAAAAGGCGACCCAGGTTTTAGCTATCCAAATCTTCACATCGGTTTCAGCAGAATTTATCTCGCTTGCTGGGTATGTAAAAGTTTCGACATATTTTATTGATTCACTTGACAATAGAACGAGAAGATGAAAAATCAAAGAGACAAAGGGGGGGAAAAACAATAATGAAAAAGAATGAAGACGGGCAATAATGGGAATGATGAAAATGAATGGAAAATGGTCGTTCCTTCAAAAGGGGGTGAATATAAAAAGAAAAGCAGTAGAAAGATACGCTTTTGAGGATGAAAAAAGGAAAATTAAAAAAAAAACGAAAGGGAAATTCTAGAAAGAAAGAAAAAGCAAACAAAGGAGGAAAAAACTGCAGTAGAGAATGAGAAGATAAGAAATGTGAAGAAGACAGGAAGGAAAGAAGGAAGGAAGGAGGGAAGGAAGGAAGGAGG